CTAAAATATACGGTGGTGTATCATATATATATATATATATATATATATATATATATATATATATATATATTTGATTTTGGTTCGTGGGTTCTTGGGTTAAGGTTATAAGTTCTATGACTTAGGCTATTTATAGCCAAAACATAAAATATGAAAGGAAAGAAAGAAGATGTCCAAAATTGTAGGCGGAAAAAGGTTTGTAGGCGCCTACCATCCATTCTTCATTCCAAAATTAACATATATATATTATAATATTAACCACCGTCCATTCTCATTTCCAAATTCACACTTATATTACTATTCATAGTCAAACTATGAATAGTAAATGATAAGTTACGGAAATAACCCCTGAACTATTTGCCACTTGCTAATTTTGGAGGTAACTTTTCCACAATCTCCACCTTGACATCAAAATTAAGCAAGTCATGCTTTACGATTAGTCAAAACCTATAGCTCATCAAACTCCAAAACTTCCATAAGAACCTGCAATTTTATATAGAGAAAAAATTGTTTCCGAAAAAATAAATAATACTTCCTCCACCTACGAGCCTTCAGGCTCAACTGCGATCAGAAACACCCACCATGTCCAAACATAATTTGAACTTGGCTATAGGAAGACTTTTAGTGAACATATCAGCGGGATTATAATCTGTATGAATCTTGTCCACAACACAATCACCTTTTTCAATGATATCCCGCACAAAATGATAACGAATATCAATATGCTTTGTTCGGTCATGAAACATTTGATCTTTACTCAAGAAGATAGCACTCTGGTTGTCACAGAAAACTATGGTCACCTTTATTCTATCATCGAGTTCTCCGAATAACCCCTTCAACCAGATATCTTCCTTAACTGCTTCTGTAATCGCCATGTACTCTGCCTCGGTAGAAGACAGGGAAACTGTAGACTGTAACTGGGCTTTCCAACTAACAGCACAACCATTTAGTGTAAACACATACCCTGTAATTGATCTTCGTTTATCCAAATCTTTTCCATAATCTGAATCAACATATCCGAACACCCCAGTGTTAGATTTGCCAAAACGTAAACACATGGAAGACGTACCTCGTAAATAACGAAAAATCCACTATACTGCTTTCCAGTGTTCTTTCCCCGGGTTCGCCATGTATCTACTAACCATGCTAACAGCATAAGCCAAATCAGGGCGTGTGCAGATCATAGCATACATTAAAGATCCAACAGCACTAGAGTATGGAACACGTGCCATGTAAGCCATATCAGTCTCATTAGTAGGACTCAAAGCGGATGATAGCTTGAAATGAGCTGCAAAAGGTGTGTTGACAGACTTTGCTTCGTGCATATTGAAGCGTCTTAGGACTTTCTCAATATAACTTTTCTGAGAAAGATGCAAGATCCTAGACTTCCTGTCACGAATAATTTCCATACCTAAAATCTTTTTGGCAGCTCCTAAGTCCTTCATTTCAAATTCAGCTTTCAACTGGTCTTTTAACTTCTGAATCTCCTTCATATCTTTTGCTGCAATCAACATGTCATCCACGTACAAGAGTAAGTAGATCTTTGAACCATTGTCACCTTTCTTGAAATAAACGCAGCTATCATAGGTGCACCTGCTGAATTTGTGACTGGTCATGAAAGAATCGAACCTCTTGTACCATTGTCTAGGAGACTGCTTGAGGCCATAAAGAGATTTGTTCAACTTGCATACGTAGTTCTCCTTTCCAGGAACTACAAAACCTTCAGGTTGTTGCATAAAAATCTCTTCCTCAAGCTCACCATTTAGGAAAGCTGTAGTGACATCAAGTTGTTCTAACTCAAAATCGTTAGAAGCAACCAACCCTAACAATACACGAATGGAAGTATGTTTGACAACTGGGGAATAAATGTCAGTGTAATCAATACCAGGAATCTGACTGTAGCCTTTAGCTACTAACCGAGCTTTGTATCTTGGTTTATCATTTAGGTTGACAGGTTCCTTGAGCTTATAGACCCACTTGCATTTAACTGGTCTCTTCCTTTTCAGAATAGGAACTAAATTCCAAGTACTGTTTCGCTGCAAGGATTCCATCTCATTTTGCATAGCGAGCATCCAATCATTTGAGTCTTCAGATTTGATAGCCTCGTCATAATTCGCAGGCTCCGTTGCGTACTCAATATTATCAGCAACAATAAAAGCATAGGCAACCAAATCAGATTCAGCATACCTCTTCGGAGGAATAATCTGTCTTCTCGGTCTATCTCTTGCAATGCTTGGAGTAGTAGCTTGTGGTTGTGAAGGTGTTGAATCTTCACCAACAACATGCTCATCCGACGAAGAAGAATCTTGATGCTGATTTGTACTCTGATTAGTGGTAGGTGAAGTAGGAAGCTCCACCTCCATTTGAGCATACTCTTTATTTGCTTCGGATGATACATCTGATGCATCTGTTCTTTTAGAAGAGTCAGCAACTGGTTGAATCATAGCAGACTCATCAAAAGTAACATCTCTTGAGATGATAATTTTCTTCAAATCAAAGCTCCATAACTTGTAACCCTTTACACCTTGATTGTACCCAAGAAAAACTCATTGGATTGCTCTTGGTTCTAGCTTCCCATTGTCAACTCGTGCATACGCTGGACATCCGAATGGTTTTAAATCTGAATAATTTGCAGGTTTACCGGACCATAATTCAAACGGAGTTTTCTTCTCGATTGCTCGTGACGGTGATCGGTTGATAACATAGCAAGCAGTCGAAGCAGCCTCCGCCCAAAAAAACTTTGGCAATTTGGAATTAGAAAGCATACACCGGACCTTCTCCATAATGGTGCGATTCATCCTTTTAGCTACACCATTTTGTTGAGGTGAATGGACTACTGTGCGATGTCGAGTAATGCCTTCCTTTTGACAATAGACATTAAACTCTTCTGAGCAAAACTCAAGTCCATTATCCGTACGAAGATACTTTACCACCAGACCTGATTGCTTTTCAACCTGAACTTTCCAATTTCTGAAGGTATAGAAAACGTCTCCTTTATGTTTTAAGAAGAAAGACCACACCTTCCTGGAGAAATCATCAATAATAGTGAGCATATAAATAGCTCCACCTTTTGAAGCAACTCGAGCCGGTCCCCACAAATCCGAGTGAACATAATCAAGTGGTCCTTTCGTTGTATGGATGCCACTTGCAAACCTCACTCGTTTTGCCTTGCCATATACACAGTCTTCACAGAAATCCAAATCAACAATCTTTTGTTGACCAAGTAAACCTCTTCGACTCAATTCTGACATGCCTTGAAAACTCATATGGCCGAGTCGAAGGTGCCAAAGACGGGACTGATGTGGATAAGAAAGAGACTTTGAAACAACAGCAGCATCACTCGAAATTGTTTGCCCGTCAAGAAAGTAAAGATCTGATGTTTTTCGTTTGGCTCTTAGTTTGTCGGAACCGTCTTTAAATACCCTGAGAACTCCACCTTTACCAGCAAACTCGTATCCCTTTTTGTCAAAGGAACTGAGAGATAACAAGTTTCTTCTGAGGTCAGGAACATATCTAACATTCCCCATGGTTCGAATAACTCCGTCAAACATATGGATCCTGACTGAACCATGTCCAAGAACTGGACATGTAGTATTGTTACCCATCAACACATAGCCCTGGTTAACCTTTTCAAATGTGTAAAACCAACTTTTGTTGTGACACATATGAAAAGTACAACCAGAGTCGAGTATCCAATCACCAGTGGAATCCAGTTTATCTGAATAAACTGTCAAAATTTCTCCAATACCTTCGACCTCAGCTACATCGGCTTCACCCGAAGTGCTAGCTTGTTTACCATTTGCTGCCGTCTTCTCTTTTTCTTTATTCTTCAACTTGAAGCATTCTTCAAGCACATGTCCCTTCTTGTGACAATAGTTGCAAAACTTTCGTTTGCCTTTTGACTTGGATCTGGTTCTGTTAGAAGATTGAGAAGTTTTACTTCTCTCTGTTGTTCTTCCTCTGGCATTCAAACCTTCGGCTTTAGCATCACTTGAACCACCACCAGTAATATGCTTCATCTTCTCTTTGGAATCCAAAGCTGTATAGACTTCATCTAAAACTAGAGTGTCACGGCTATAGATAATAGTATCACGAAAATGGCTATAGGATTCTGGCAACGACGATAGTAAGAATAGAGCCAAGTCTTCATCTTCATACTGAACATCCATATTCTCTAAGTTATTTACTAACTCTTTAAATGTGGATATATGTTCAGTTAAAGAGCCTCCTTCAATCATCTTGAGATTGAACAATCGTTGCTTCAAATGCAACTTGTTTGGTAAGCTCTTGGTCATCAACAGTTGCTCCAACTTTAGCCATAAAGAAGCCGCTGACGTTTCTTTTAGAACATCTTGCAAAACATCGTTTGACAAGTGCAAACGAATATGGGATAAAGCCTTCAGATCTTTCATCTCCTTTTCTTCTTCGGTCCATGTATCAGGCATCTTATTGAAACCCAAAAGCGCCTTGTGTAAATCCATCTGAATGAGAATGTCTCTCATCTTTACTTGCCACAACGGAAATCGTGTGTTACGATCCAGTAGTGGAATATCGTATTTTACCGAAGTCATGATTAATTACTTGATAAAATGATCCCAACGAGCTAATATCACAACCCGGATGCTCTGATACCAATTGTTGTGGGTGTTTCTGATCGCAGTTGAGCCTGAAGGCTCGTAGGTGGAGGAAGTATTATTTATTTTTTCGGAAACAATTTTTTCTCTATATAAAATTGCAGGTTCTTATGGAAGTTTTAGAGTTTGATGAGCTATAGGTTTTGACTAATCGTAAAGCATGACTTGCTTAATTTTGATGTCAAGGTGGAGATTGTGGAAAAGTTACCTCCAAAATTAGCAAGTGGCAAATAGTTCAGGGGTTATTTCCGTAACTTATCATTTACTATTCATAGTTTGACTATGAATAGTAATATAAGTGTGAATTTGGAAATGAGAATGGACGGTGGTTAATATTATAATATATATATGTTAATTTTGGAATGAAGAATGGATGGTAGGCGCCTACAATCTGAAAGTACGACAATCTTTGTGTGTGATTTAGAGATTTGGTGTTGTACAATCAAGCTCTATGCTACTCCCCCACTTCGACTAGCATGGCCGTCCACAAATTCCCTATGTTGCGTTCTCCCAGTTACTTTTTGCTTATCGTCTTCTTATTTTGTTCAACATCGTTGTTTCCTGATGCAGTCATCTAACAATATGCTTTTTGTAGGTTTAGATTTACTAATTAGAGCATGTAATGATGACATTTATTCCATTTGTTGCTTATTTTTATGGTTGGTGAAGGAAGGTTTATGTTCTTTTCTTGATTAGTTGTACGGAACTTGCGAATCAAAGATCATAGCCCATGATGCCATCTTTAGTTTTGTATGTGGACAGTATTAGTCATCATCCATTCCACACCTCTTGACCTTCCTTAATGTGATAGCAGGGTTGTTAATAGCGATCGCTACCCTCGCTATAGCGAATAGCGTAGCGTAGCTGTGATGGGTCGCTACCATGCCTGTAGCGATGAAATAGCGTGTGTAGCGATCCGGCAAAATTGATTTTTTTTTGTTTAAATCGGTAAGAAAACGTAGCAATTAGGCTCGGAATAGGTTTAGGCGGGGAATCGTACAATTAATTTTGTGTCTTCCCCTCTAATCGACTAAGATTGTACGATGGCGCCAAAATCACCAAAATCGATTTTGGCGGGTTATTTCTCACTTCTGCGACAGTAGCGACAACAACACATCTCCCCTTCTCCCCAGACGACTCCAACTATTCCAGAATCGATCTCGATTGTTCAACTTCAGAAAGGTAAGACTTTTAAATTGCTCTGTTTTTTTTTCTAACTTCTCGGTTTCAGGCTTTAACTCATTTCTTCTAATTTCAGCTTTTAACTTCTATCTTTTTGATCAATTCTGCAAGACTTCAACTTCAAAAAAGGTAATCTTTGGCTTCTTTCTTGCTTCTAAATTCTGAGATTCTTTGAATTCTACTGTATGATCTTTGATTATGTGATTCTTATGATATTGGCTACTATCTTCTGATCAATTCAAGAGAGGATGATATTGGCTGGAAACACGGCAAAAGAGTTGAAGGAAATACAAACTGGGTGTTGTGGAATTATTGTCCAAATGTTGCCAAAGGTGGGATTACAAGACATAAACATCACCTTGCTGGTGATTCCACTTCAGTTTGTAAATGTCTTAGAGCTCCACTAGATGTTAGGAAACTTTTTAAAAACATTTTTGAGAAACAAAAACAAGACAAAGTTGAAAGGAATCGCATTCCTCTCTTTGATGATGATGTGGTGGATATAAATGATGAAGATGAAGAAGAAGCTGGTGAGGTTCCTTTCTCGTTAGGCAAGAGGGCTATTTCGTCCTCCAAGTCAACCCTACACCACAAGAAAGTAAAAGGCGCTTTGGATACTTATTTCAGGCCATCCAATGAAACAGGGAAGAAGAAGGGGTACTTGGTGGGAACCCCCGAACATATCCAACTTCACAAAAAACTAAGAGGTGAAGCGGTTCAGAAGTTCGCTCTTTGGATGTATGATGCAGGTCTTGCATTCAACGCGGTGAAGTATGATAGTTTAGGGCCCGCACTTGAAGCCATTACTATACATGGTCCCGGTATGAAACCCCCTAGCTACCATGAGGTACGTGTTCCCCTGTTGAAGCTAGAGAAGGAGCACACAAAGAAACTTTTGATACTTAATGAGACCGAGAAGAAGGCAATCGGGTGTTCTTTGATGGCTGATGGTTGGAGGGACCGGAAAGGAAGAGCACTAATCAACTTCTTAGTGAATACTCCACGAGGAAGTATGTTTCTAGAATCTGTAGATGCATCTTTCTATTCTCATACAGGTATTCATTGTTCTTGTTTTTTTACTTATGTTTATGTTCTATGTTGTTTATGTTATGTACTTTACTTATGTTTATATTCATTATTCTATGTTGTTTATGTTATGTACCATGAAAGATTAATATGTTATCGACTGTTATGTACTTTACTAGTATGTTCTAACATTGGCTGTTTATGTTCTTTACTATTTTTGACTGTTATTCACTCTTGTATTGAATGTTATTGACTATTTTTGTTGTTGTTTGAACATGAGAGAATTTGTTTAAGTTGTTTGACCACTTCATCAAAGAAACTGGCCCCGATCATGTGGTTCAAATTGTAACAGATAATACTGCCAACAATGTTTTGGCTGGGAAAATGGTGGAAGCAAAATATTCACATCTATTAGACTCCGTGTGCTGCGCATTGCATTGACCTCATGCTTGAAGACATCTTCAAAGTGACTCATCTTAAGAAGACACTAGACAAAGCAATTGCGGTTAACACTTACATTTACAACCGTACATTGCTCTTGAATATGTTGAGAGACTTTACGGGTCAAAGAGATATGATTAGGCCCACAAAGACCCGATTTGCAACCGCCCTCTTAACTCTGAATTGCTTTAGGAGTCATAAGGCAAGTTTGAAGAAGCTGTTCACGTCTGAAGCGTGGAACAAAAGCAGGTTCAAAGGGGAGGAGGGAGGAACTCAATGTGTTGCAACTATTTTTTCACCTAGTTTTTGGATTAACATTGACATTGCTGTCAAAGTTGGTGAACCATTACTAGCGGTGCTTCGATTGGTAGATAGTGAAAGAAAGCCGGCTATGGGGTAAATTTATGAAGCCATGGATAGGGCAAAGGAGCAGATTGAATACTCATTCAACAACAAATTTAACAAATACAAAGCTTTCTTCAAAATCATTGATGACAGGTGGAATTTTCAACTTCACCAAGATTTGCATGCGGCTGGTCACTATCTGAATCCGAGTATTTTTTACAATAACCCATGAGTGAAAGAAGATAGTGAAGTAATTAAGGGCTTGATGGCATGCATACATAAGATGTCATCAGAAGAAGACGAGACCAAGATTCACCAAGAGCTCTCTATATATACTGGTGCAGAAGAGTTATTTGCGCAACATATGGCTGTTAAATTAAGAACAACGCTTGCACCAACGAAATGGTGGATGCAATATGGATCATCAGCACCAATACTTAAGAACTTTGATGTGAAGGTGTTGAGTCTTACTTGTAGTTCATCAGGGTGTGAGCGTAACTGGAGTGTTTTTGAACATGTAAGTTCATTTTTTTAAGATTAATATCCTTTGCACTATTTACTAATGGTTTAATTTTATTTTTGTAGATCCATTCGAAAAAAAGAAACCGTCTTGAACGACAAAAACTAAATGACTTAGTTTACATCAAATATAATCGAGCATTAAGGAGGAGGTATGATATGCGGGATATGATCGACCCGATCATCTTGGAAGACTCGCACATACATGACCCGTTCGAGTGGTTGGCGAGTGATGATGATGGTCTCGTGTTTGGGATGTTGTGGCAGAGGCTATGGGGGGTAGATGAGCCTATTCATCTAACTAGAAGAACAATAACACCAGGTGGGAGGCAAGGTGGGATGCAAGGGGGGATGCAAGGGGCTGTTGGGGTTGCAAAGTCGAGCTCACAAGGTAGAGCTAGAGCTAGACAACCCCCATTTGGTAGATGAACCTGAAGAGGAAAATGATGTTGGGGTTTATAAGGAGTTTGTTGAAATAGAGGGGGAAGATGAACTCGTATTTGAGGAGGATGAGGATAACGATTAGTCGATTAGTGGTATTTTAGAGTTTAGACTTTTAGAATCATAACACTCTCTTTTGTGGTATTGAAACATACTTTTAGACTTTAGAGTCTAAAAATAACCATTCTTTTGTGGTATTAGAACTTAATTTTAGACTTTAGAGTCTAAAACTAACCAATCTTTTGTGGTAAAAAACTTTTGGAACTTAATGTTAGCTTAATAGAACTGGTACTTGTTAGTTCTATGTGTTATTTTTAATTGTTGAATAGGTGCAGGTAAATATAGTGTTTAATTTTATAAAGAAATCACAAAACATGAAATAACTGTCGCTATTTCATCGCTATCGCTACGTAGCATATAGGTGGGTTGTTGCTATTTCCTCGCTATCGCTATCGATAACCTTGTGTGATAGAACTAATTGTGTTTGGTTGACAAAATCAAATGAATTCCATTAAAATTATGCATTCTACTGACATTCTTTGGTTAAGGGTATGTTTGATTAAAAAGACAAAAATGCCCTCCACCTCTTTTTTATTTTAGCCATGATTTATAAAATCATAACAAAATATCATCTCTCCCACACACCCACCACCCTTAATATTAGTTTGTATACAACATATTATTAACATATATAATATGATATTAGGTTGCATATCTTAACTTATTTGTTAATCTATAATCTATTTATCGATGTAAGTTTATGTGTTACTTGACTTGAAAAGTCTACTTACCTTAAGTGAAGTCTTTAATTAGTTGACAAGTATTAACCTGTTGGATTGTAACGACTTCAATTCTAATATATACCTGGAAGACGTTTCACTGATACAGTAAAAAAATAAGAAAATAAAAGTAAAGGTCCGTCTATAAAATAACTACAAATACTACGTCTTCTGTTATATTATCTCCAAGTTTGAAAAAATGCATAAGAAGTTAAAAGCTAAGGCCCCACCCTCCAATTTCAAGACATCTTGTTTCTTTGAGTCAAATCTTTCATCTACCAGTAAATGTTGGACCACAATTTCATATGGACAGTGGGTGTACGGCATGGCAGTTTTCTTATGTGAAATTTCAACCTTCAACTTGATGTAACACCATCTCAAGGCATTAACAACATTTCTTTACAAGGTGATTGCCCAACCCGGTTTTGTTGATGCATGGATTAGTCTGTTACTTATTCCTCGTATGATGCAGGTGTTTAGGCTCAATAATAGACAAGAATGTTAGGTATGGAAATAGGAAATCCTTACAACAAAGTTCTATCTTGAAGTCCTTGGCTACATGGGGGAAGATGATGGTATCAACACATTAGTTATAAACATGTTAGACAGTTTCGGGGTGGGGTCCATGGGACAGGGTGGATGCATCTTTCAAAGGAGACAACATCGAGTAACACCAACATTATGTAGTGCCTTCGTTAGGTAGAAGATTGGCATTTTACCACAGCAGTGAAAGTGTTATGCTCCACCGGTGTTGTGCCATACAATGGTGATACTATTAATGCTGCGGAGGATAAGCACCCGTTCAGACCAGCCCCATCCATGTTGAGCCCCATATTTTCTGAACCTCCCCTTGTAGCAGAGATTGAGTGTGTGTTTAGCTGCATTAAATCTTTCCCTAAAGGAATTTCATGTGGGAGAGATGGTGTAACAACCCGCTATTTCGAATCAATGTAATAGTATAGATCAATTTGTTGTTCTTTTTAAAATAATAAAGATAAATTTTTGTATACTATGTACATTTACATAATCGACCCTCAAAAATGAAATGTTAAATAAACCTGTTTGGGATGAATATACTAGTAGAGATCGTGTCAAGGATTCCAAAAATATAAAGAACGCCCAAATCCGAGTTACAACGAAGAAGTTATGACTTATCGAAAATCCACGACAAAACCGGCAAAATACTGTTTAATGTAAAAAGTGAGTTTTCAATAAATTGATTTTTAGCCTTAACTTTCTAAATGAAAGTTATAGTATACGTTAAACCGAGAGTGTCCATAAAAAGAACGACTAAATATGACTGCGTATGAAGAAGTTATGATTTTTCTAAGTTTCGACACAACGGTACGCAACCCGAAACTTGAAATTTAGATCAAGCAACTTTTGGCCAAAACAACCTAAATGAGAATCAGAGACCTTATCAAAAGAAATTCAATGGTAAAAAGACAGACAAAAACGGACGTCGGATGAAGAAGTTATGAATTTTTAACGGACTTTTCCTGTCCCGGCCTGTTAAAAATATAACTTTAAAAATAAAGTCAAAATTAGCGTAAGAAGTCTGAACGAAAGTTGTAGAGCATGGTCTCACCTACGTGTGGATATAAAGAACGTCAAAAATAGAGTTCGTATGCAAAAGATATGAATTTTTGAAGTTTGATAAAAGGAAGTACGCCCCGCGTACATGAGTAAGCCCAGCGTACTCGAAAGCTAGGCCTCGGATTGACCACATCGCCTCTTTACTCGTATGCGACACGTAGCTCGTTCAATCAACACGTCCGAAGCCAGGTAGCCATTACGCCCTGCGTACGAAAAGATTACACCCATCATAATGGGACTAGCCTCGACGCGTGCCTCGTAGCCTCACCACGTCCGAAGATCGGATAAGACTCAAACCAGTACGCCCCGCGTACAAGACGTACGCCCAGCGTACTGAGGTTTTCAGTAGTACACCCAGCGTACCGAGGGCCAGACCCCTCCTATAAATAGGATGCGAGACCTCCGGGTTTTGTTTAGAATTTTCAAATCCTCTCTCCACTCAAACACTCCTTTAAGCCTTTCTAAACCCTCCGATGTCCCGAGAACCTCTTTACCACCTGAAGCAAGCCCCAAAGCCCCGAAGTCCTCAATTTCAAACTGAAACTCTGCCCGCGTGAAGCCGACTTTTCATCAAAAACTCTCAATTTCATCAAGAAAACTCTTTTCTAAGAAACGAAACGCTGCCCAAATCACCACCTATCAAGTGAGTTTATACCCCTATATTTTCACAATTTTTATAATGTTTTATGGGGAAAATACAAGTAAAATACGAGGAAATATTGTATTAATAACAAAAATGATTCAAATAGTTTACAATTGTTATTTTTACTAAAATAAATATACTATTTTACCAGTTCAGGATTTCATATAAAAACAAACATATAAACTATAATAGGTATAGTTTATGAGTCATGTATACTTATCAATACAGTTGATGGAACTTACATATTTCTTTTTATATTCAGAAATAACTTATGAAAACAACTATATAAATTATATTAAATCTAATTTATGAGATATTTACAAAATATCTTTTACAAAGATATTTTTATTATTCTACACGTAATTATCAATATAGCGTTTGTGACTCACGCTTCAAGTACTTATTTAAATATAAAACAAAAGTCCTGAAAATTATAACCAGAGTCTCCTTGAGGGAGAGCGTGACACTTGTGTATAGATCTATACGGGACTGACAATCCCGCACCAGAGCTGCTTGCAACAGCTAGGTCGGCAGACCTGTGGTGACAACTGTCGTACCCTATTTCGACGCCTGAAGAACGTTGTGTTTCGGGCGAGGCTTAGGTCATGAAGCATGGTTATGATAAGTCACAATTTGGTATTGAATAATGCGTTTAGTGTAAGAATAAGTAAACAACTTCACATAGTTTTATATAAATAAAACTATAAAGGTGAATTTAGATATTTATAACTTCATGAGTTTTTATTACAGAATACTATTCTAATACAGAGAAAACTTACTTTTCATAGTTTTATGGGAATTTAAAACTATATCATACTATTTCAGAACACAAATACATATACAACAGAAAATATGGGATTTTCTGGGGAAAACATACTTGCATTTTTCAAAGGAATAAATAATAGATTTCTATTACAAACATGCTTATGAACTCACCAACTTAATTGTTGACACTCTTTTCAAAACTACTTGTATTTTCAGGAAATCGATAAACAGGTACCCACAAGTTTTGAGGAAGACAGAGTCTCATATAATTATGTCTTTTAATTATACTTTTTGGTGTCAAATGTACAATGA